AACTCGCCGCCAGCTTCACCATCCCATATCCCTTATCTTATCTTATCCTTATCTTATCTTATCTTAAGTAAGGGTTGTGTTACTATTAGGAGTAGGTAATTAGGAGTTTGAGTTTGAGTTGGATTACCCTAGCCTAGCCGAATCCAACAAGGAATTCCCTTCTGTAATCTTCTATTTAAGGAGCTACGAGTTGAAATAAAGCATTCAATTTTCCAGTCAAGAGAAGAGTGAGGAGAGTTCAGGTGGTCTCTTGGAAAAATCACCCATTAGGAGAGTTCGGGTGGTTTCTTGGACAAATCACCCATTCGTTTTTCCACAATAGGTTCTGCACGCAAGGGAAAATAGGGCTTTCTCCCCGTGGACCGACCCGTGACGGATCCTACACGCGGGACCATAACAAAATCTTTACCATTAATTTGTGCCATTTGTTGTAAATTCTAATTTTCTTTAGGTTCTGTAGGTACATAGTGGTCACTAAGACCCTCAGACTACAAAAGGTGTCAAACCAACACTACACAGACACATATGATGAGTCCAAAACCCATCGCACATTTGCAATGAATTCATCGCAGATCCGCAATTGCGATGAATTCATACCCGTGACAGGACACGATGAACCCCAGGCACACACAGATTTCCGATAAACCCAAACATGCGCAAAGTTGCGATGAACCCGACACCATCACAAAACCGCGGAATCATGGTAGATCGGAAATAAATTTCGATTACACGTAATTACGCATGCGGGCTCAATAAAAGTACGCCTACCAAACGATGACGTCACCCACACCACGTTAGTATAAAAGGGTCACATACGAAGAGAATCCGAAAGGAATAGGATTCTCTAATAATGATCCCTTAATATTCAAATAAAAGGAAAGATCTCATTTCCTAACAGAAAAGATCATCTTTCCTAACAGGAAAGAACTTCTTCCTTGATAACCTTAACTTCCTCCCTATAAAAGGGAGAGAACAATTCTTCCCTAGGGAGACAACATAATATAACCCTGACCTTATCTCTCTTTTCTACCTCCTCATTCCCATCGCCATCTCTAAATCTTCGGAGATTGACCGACTGCCAAGAGTCTACAGTGAAAACAAGTTCAGTTTGGAAGGAGTACAAATGCAAATATGTAAAGTGCAAAACCTTATATTTTGTATGTACAAATACATATATGTACAATATAAATACATACACAATAGTACAAGACATAAAGTTTTGCACTATACATATTGTATTTGTACTCCTTTCAAATGGAGTCTTAGTGACAATTATGATTAACCATAGGGATATATAGTTATAGCCACAATTTTCGAATTGTTGTTAAATCAATTGCTGATATATCATACTTGTATATCTCAAGAGGTTGTTTGAAAAGAGAATGTAGGTTTAGGTTTGGCTAAACCTCTATTAAGTCTTTGTATGATATGTTTTTTTAATTGTAAACACACAACCTGCGCCCCCCATCTTGGGTTGGTCAAATGAAAGGGCATCTAGTATTCCATGGCTATTTGCCTGTCCATCATTTCCTCTTTTAAGTGAAGTAAATCTGTCCCATCATGTCGCAGTCCCTTGATCATATAGCTTTGTTGTTATTTCTTTCACCAATGCCTAGTGCCTCGTCCCTTGGCTTAATCCACACATCTCACTTTGGCTGCGATGGTCCATTGTGAGGCAAGAGGTCTCCTAGGTTGGGTGTTGGTCCTTTCCCTAAAGGAATGATGCACATGGCCTCATACCAAGGTTTTTAAAATTGGATTGGACAGGGAATTGTTTTAGCGACTAGTTTATCGATCGAATGGTTCAATCATTCAGTTTGAATGGATGGTCCGTTTTGATAAAAAATAAAAAAATGATCAAAAACCATTGTTTAAATTGATGGTTTGATGGTTTGACCGCTCAGATCAGCAAACCCACTGACCAAACCAACAGTTTTTAGCCAAAAAGCAGTTTTGGGGTAAAACAAAACCAGTCAAGTGACTGGTTCCCGATTTTTTCTGTCAGACTGTGATTTCCATCACAAACATACAAAATACTTGGGTGACAAATTTCTAAGGGCCTTTACCTTATCCCCCCTCCACCCTAACTCATGTGCCATCTCATGCTATGGTGAGTGTCATCCTGAAATAACCTTTGTGCTAAATACAAAATTGCTACCATTGTCCTTAAATGAATTCATCCTTTTGTAAGCATTGGGATTTTGTCCTTTAATGCCTTATGAACTGAGGTCCACTGATGGTCTTCAGGTGATGATTCAACGTTGTGTGAGAAGTTTCTCATAGTGAGGAGTTATGAGGGCCTTACCCTTTTTAGGTTAGTTAGAGTGGTTTCTGTGGATATATACATATATACATGGTGGTGGGCAATAAATATCTTTTTATAGGCTGGACTGGACCGGACAGAACCGCTGACCCGCTGATCCAATGACTATTCCGGGTCCTGGTGAAGTGATGCTTTTTGCAGGCTGGATGGGATAATCCTCTAGTATTTAGGCTACATTTGGCATTTCTTATTTTAAAGATTTATATTTTTTTCGCTGTTAAAAATTCAGTGTTTATAGGGGCATTTTAACCATGAAAAGGAGACAAGTCGTTAAAATAAAGAATGCCAAACGTGGCCTTAGTCTGATCCAAGTCTTACAAATACAACATTGCCTTTCAGAATCTAAAGCTTTTCACATGCAAGTTCCCTCTCTAGAGTATTCTTAGATGATCCCAGATCCGGTGGTCTTTTATGTAATTACGGGCTGAACAATCTAACCAGTGGTTGTACCAATAAAACCATGATTCAGCGAGTTTTCAGCTTTTCATCGGTTGTGAGTGACAATGTTAGTTGAATGACCTAGTTTTAATTTTTGACACATTTCAGTGTGAAGTCTCAGAAAATGGCAACAATTAAGCAATTGCATCTGTTGCAGTGAATAATAAAAAATTGCATCGTCGAAAAGAAAAAAAAATAGAAAACTTAGTTGTCGGACTACTATTGCTGCTATTCCCAATCCCAGATTGCCTAAATACGCTCCATTTGCCTTCATTTCTAACGAACCATACTGATTGGAATCGTTCTTTACGCCATGAAACCCCTTGGTTTTGTTTGAAGACAAAATGGTTCCTAGCTTTCCAAATAAGAGCACTGTTAGAAGTGGGAAGTACCATGTCTCACCTATGGGCATCGATTCCAATAAGAGCACTGTTAGAAGAGATCAAAAATCCTCCAACCTCCATGGACCAAATAGGCTTGGGGCATAGTCCTAGAGCGTGCTAACAAGTAGATAGCATAATAGGACTGTAAATTTGGGTGAGATGCTGGTTGATAGACAATTCTGATATCTGGCATATAGATTTGTGCAAATTCTTTACTACTCCATGGATTACTTCAGAAAAAGTAGGACAAGTAATTTTGACAGTTACAGCCGTTTATAAGAGACGAAAAGATGACTCTTCAATTTTGAGCCTTCACATTCACATACCACCATGCTTTTTGATAAAAAAAAAAAAAAAACAGCTTACCTCCATGCATTGAGAATGCATCTATAAGTACTGATAAATTAAAAATACTGTCTTCACAAAAAAAAGAAAAAAGATTAGTTGAAAATACTACCAAACTGTAATTTCAAGGAGGCCTTATGAGCATCTGCAACAGCTCCAGTAGTTTCTAAGAATTCATTCTTCATCTGGGATATTGTTGACTCCATGTATTCTTTGTGCTTTGAGACTGTATCAATCAGCATAAGCAGTTCCCGAGCACACATCTGGGTTTCCTCATCACATTGTTTGATAACATCATGCAACTTTAGTTTGGAGGTCTGAACAAAAATGTTGGATCAATTAGAGCCTGTTATAGTTCTTTCTACAATTCCCATTAGTTGGTGCTGTGAATGATAAGTCTAAGGAAAGTATGTACCTTAAAAAATTCTTCAGCTTCTTTTTCCACCAAATCCAAGTTATGTTCCTCCCTCTGAACATCTTCCAGCATTCTTTTCGCTTCCACCGCACATCTGGATGTGTAGTCTTCTATTTCCTTCTTCAACAAGTTTAACTGAGCTTCGCCCTGAAAATTTAGCATGCATCTGTATCATTAAACAATGGTTTTCTTGATACAAGTTGACCTGCTAGTAAGCTTTTTGAGTTTTTCCACCATCACTGTGAGTATCAATTCTGAAAAATATAAAGAATATTAATGGAATTTTGAAAAAGATAAACTATGGAAATGCGGACATTGCCACATATAATTTGCATTTATTTGCACATTAGTGAATATCACATATAGTTATGTGCTACACTTCATACACTCCCAGATTTGAAGAATAAACTAGCAGGGAACCTGTGCAAATGCATGGGGATGAACATAAAAGAATTAAGATGAAGCATTTATTCTTTAATTTTATTATTGAATAAAATTAAAGAATAAAAAAAATTACAAGATAAAGGAAATTTTTCAAGCTACCATGAGTGCATTGTTAAGAAGAATTCTAATAGCGCTTTGGAGAAATAAAAAAATAATAAAGGAATAAAAAGTGCAAGACAAATCATTTCAAATACTAATAGTTGGGGAATTGTTAAAGAGATTCTCAAAATACACCATAAGGCCATCCAGCTTGCAAAAGTTTAAATACATGAAATTATCGAACTCTTATGGATCATCAAAAAGAAATTCTCAAAAAACACTATGGACACACACTTGTATACATACTGAACTGCAAAGAACAGTATTGTGCACACCATTAAGCCCCTGTTTGAGAACACTTATAAGAAGTACTTCTTTTAAGAGCTAAGACCACACATTAAGTGGTTATTAAGTGATTTTGTGTGTTTGGTAAAAAAGTGGGGAAGTACTTTTTTTAAAGTACTTTAAAAAAATGACTTCAAGTTGGCTTTTTTTCAGTAATTCTTGAAGTACTTCTCTAAAAAATGGGACGAACCAGTCCCTAATAATTTTTTGTAATACGTAAAATACCCCCCCACAAGGGTTATACTTCTCCATTCATTCGAACATCTCTACTACCAGGTAGTGGTGCACTAGTTGCAGGTCCACTGACGACCATCGGCGGAGAGGAAAAGTGGCTGGCGGTATCATTAGTTCGCAAATCTGGGACCGAATACACTGCCACGAAGGTCGAACTCTAGGATCAAAACCCAGATTTGGTTGCTGGTATGCAGCCTTGCCACTCACCGTTCCTGTTTTTTCTTCCTCAATCCTCAGCCTTGCCACAGAGATCGAACTCTAGGATTGCAAATATGTTTTTTCTTCCTCAGTCATCGTTCCTGTTTAATGCCGCTACTCGCCACTGTTGCTGGTTTGAACCTGCCACTGCAACAACGATGATGATCGGCGGTGAGGAAAAGTGGCCGGCGGACCTGTCGTTAGTTCGCAAATCTGGGATCGAATACACTGCCACAGAGGTCGAACTCTAGGATCAAAACCCAGATTTGGTTGCTGGTATGCAGCCTTGCCACTCACCGTTCCTATTTTTTCTTCCTAAGTCCTCAGACTTGCCATAGAGATCGAACTCTAGGATCGCAAATATGTTTTTTCTTCCTCAATCATCGTTCCTGTTCAATGCCGCCACTCACCACTATTGCTGGTTTGAACCCGCCGCTGCAACGACGATGATGAACAGGGAAAGGGAAAGAGTGAAGACTAAGGAGAAGAAAAAAAAAAGAAGAAAGAGAGATGGTGTGGGAGAAAAAAGGGAGATGAGAGATTGGAGGTGGAGATCGGAATGGATTCGCCGCCGCTGTTGAGATGATGAACAGTGGATTTCGGGGGGGTTCTGAAGAAGAAAAGGAAGAAGAAGTATGAGATGGAGAGGGAGGCCAGAGTATTTATTATTTATTATTTATTATTTATTATTATTTTTTTATTATTATGATTATTTATTATTTATTAGGATTATAATTATAACATGGCGATTATTATGATTATTATTATTATTATTATTACATGGCGATTCATGTGTGGGTCCACATGGACTCTCAGTTAAAATATATAGCATAACATGTGAAAAGCATTGTATATATGTATGAGTGAAGTGAGGGCTAAAATTATCATTTGTGTCAATATAAGCACTTATGGGGGAAGTAGCTTATCAAACATCCCTACCCCAATAAGTGCTTAAAAACATAATAAGTGATTTGAAAAGTGGGTTACCAAACAGCCTTAAGTGGTTGTTAAAATAAGTACTTCTAAGAAGTACTTGTGCAACTTAATTATCAAACAGGGCCTAAGCACACCAACTTACCCAAAAGCCCACATATCAAAATATACTTGTATACCAGTTCAAAACCACAATAAATGAAGTTTAATAGCTTTGGCTTTCAATAAAGGAAAAGACACCAACTTACCCGAAAACCAAACCCAAAAACCCCACCTTGCAAATTGAAAGAACAACTAAAATCAAAGAAAAGAGCCAAGCTCTCATCACTGTTCCCAGTACATGAAATCCTTGAGCAAGAACACATTATAAAAAATAAAGAAACTACATTCTATTTTTAAACAAAACTAATATAAATAAAGAACAGAATGGCTGAAGCTTAAATGACTACATTATAATCTCAATTAAAACTCTTATCTTTTTTTATCAGCCACATAAAACATAACATTAATTAAAATAGAGGTAAAACTCACAACATTTTGAGTAGCCTCGACTATCCCATGAGCTTAAGACAACGATAGAACCATTTTCTTAAGTTAAAATTGAGTCCAAAATCAATTCTCCCTATTGACCCCTTGCTTAGAAAAATGGACAGCTAAGCTGTTTGCTGATCTAGGAAGCCAATGCAAAACCACCAGCATTTCTTTTGAATTTTTTAATCTCAATCCTGAAATACCATGGAACCTTATCACTTTCGTATCTCCTTCGGTTCTGCACCCATGAAGTCCCCTTCCCCTAAAGGCCTGAAATACAAGAAAACCAAGTTTCCTTCAACACTTCTTATCACCCCTCCCGTTCAAGTAGCACCCGGATTGCCGAAACAACTCCCATCAAAATTCAATTTAAAGAAATCATCCACTGGTGGCTTCCAGCTTCTCATTAGTTTCTTCTTTGCTGAAGATGATGCTGCAATCACTCCCCAATGTCTGATAAATATCATMAAAARTTAAGTCAAAAAACAACTTTGTTGACTTCACTCAATGTGTCACCTTTACCATTATGCTTTCAATCAAAGACTCTTTACTTCTTTGTTTCTCCTAAAAAATCCTCTGGTTTCTTTATTCCCAGATTGTCCAAACCACTGCAGCTCTTGTGCACTTCCAAAGTAATCTTCCCCTTTTTCTCAGCTAGCTGAAAGTAGAGGGATCAAACAATGTATCCAAACTAGTTAGAGTGTTCCACCTGCAACCAAACAAAGAAAAAAACCATCCCCAATACAACGAACGAGAGGACAGGAAATAAGAAGGTGATGAGCAGATTCACCATTTGAATCACACAGAACACACCAATTTGGAAATAAGCACCAACCAGGTCTCCTCCTTTGTAATAAGTCGTAAGTATTGGTTGCACCAAGGAAGAGAAGGGGAAGCCAACACTCTAAAAAAGGAAGCACCAATGAAAACCCTAGAAGGATGACCAGTCCATAAACAGCTATCCACTTTATTGTTATACTTGGATTTACTGCTGTTAGCAGAACAGATTTAGAAAAGAAGAGAAGAGAGGAAAATAAAAGAAAAGGGGGCTGTGTGTTATGTTACTGCCGCCCTAAACAATATCATTTATATGTGCTTATAATAACATGAAACAAAAAAGACGAAAATGCCCTATCGCCTATAACAGTACATAACAGATAGAAAAGAAAAAAAAAATGTAACTGAACAACTCAAACACTGGGACCCATGGTTTTCAAAACCGGGAACCAGTCAGGTGAYTGGTTCCATTTTTCCCCAAAACCGGATTTTTGCAAAAAAACGTTGATTTGGTCAGCAAACCACTGACCTGGGCGGTTGAAACATTCGAACCATTCAATGGTTTTGACCATTTTTTATTTTTTTGTCAGAACGGGCCAACCGTTCGATTCGAATAGTCAGACCGTTCGACCTGGAAACGGACCCTTGATTGGTTCGGTCTCCGGGTTGGTTTTAAAAACCTTGGTGGGACCACAAGGGAAGTATCAAGTCTAGTCCACTATATCACTACACTCCCCCTCAAGTTGGGAATAGATGTTGATCATTCCCAACTTGCACAAATCTGATTCCGATTTGACTTTGGTGACTACTTTGGTGAAGAGATCAACAAGCTGCATATCAGCGGCAACATATGGCAAGCATACATCTTGTGAGGCAACTTTTTCTCGGATGAAGTGACAGTTAACCTCAATATGTTTAGTTTTGTCATGCTGGATTGGGTTGTGGGCAATATTAATAGTAGCCAAATTATCATAATACGACCTCAATGGCTTYTCATACTCAATCCCAAGTTCCTCAAAGAGAGATCCCAACCATAACACTTCAGCCACACCATGAGCCATAGACCTATACTCTACCTCAGCACTAGAGCAAGCAACAACATTTTGTTTCTTGCTTCGTCATGACACTAAGTTACYGCCAACAAAAGCACAATACCCCAAAGTTGATCTCCAATCATCAACACATCCGGCCCAATCAGCATAAGTATACACCTCTATCTTCATATGAGCATTATTCTTAAAGAGTATGCCACAATCTGGACATCTCTTCAAATAAGCAAGGATTCTTTCCACAACAAGCAGATGAGCAGTTCTAGGAGAATRCATGTATTGGCTGACAACACTAACAACATAAGAGATGTTAGGACTTAGGACATGTAAGACATAGGTAAAGGAGCTTTCCTACCAGCCATTGATACATGGTTTTGTCTTCAAGAGGCTCANGAGAAAATTGCTTGCCTAACCTCCTCAAAATTTCTTTCCAACCAATCTTTGTCCTCTTCAAAAAGTCTCAGCAGCACTCACTTCTCCCAACTCCTCTCTGATGCGTAATGGCCTCCTCAAGATAGATTTGAAATGAGTCACAAAACAATTGGCTATCTCTTCTTGGGACTCAAAAACCGAACCATCTACTTCAAGTTTAGACACTAGATTTTTCCTCCTTTCATTAGCTAATTCATGAAAAAAATTGGTGTTGCCATCACCTTCCTTGATCCATTTACATCTGGATTTTTGCCTCCATGAAAA